AGAGAGAGAGAGAGAGAGAGAGAGAGAGAGAGAATGGCAATGGCATGACAATACTCTTTTTACGCCCCCATCAACATCCCAGCAGACAAAGCCGGGCTGAGAGGGATACAACATCTTAGCAGACAGACCCGGGCTGAGAGGGATACAACATCCCAGCAGACAAAGCCGGGCTGAGAGGGATACAACATCCCAGCAGACAGACCCGGGCTGAGAGGGATACAACATCCCAGCAGACAGACCCGGGCTGAGAGGGATACAACATCTTAGCAGACAGACCCGGGCTGAGAGGGATACACATCTTAGCAGACAGACCCGGGCTGAGAGGGATACAACATCCCAGCAGACAAAGCCGGGCTGAGAGGGATACAACATCCCAGCAGACAGACCCGGGCTGAGAGGGATACAACATCCCAGCAGACAGACCCGGGCTGAGAGGGATACAACATCTTAGCAGACAGACCCGGGCTGAGAGGGATACAACATCCCAGCAGACAGAGCCGGGCTGAGAGGGATACAACATCCCAGCAGACAGAGCCGGGCTGAGAGGGATACAACATCCCAGCAGACAGACCCGGACTGAGAAGGATACAACATCCCAGCAGACAGACCCGGACTGAGAGGGATACAACAGCCAAGCAGAAAGACCATGATACCCAATACAAAGTTTCCCTTCTGAGGAAACGACCTCGATGAGAGTGTGAATGGTTGGGCTCACCACACAGAAATTCTATTGTTACCTTTTGTTCTTCCTATCCCTGCTCTTGCCTTTCTATCTTCTTCCCAGTAACAAATGACATTTTACTGTGTCGACATGCTTGTCTTCACTCCAGCAAGAGGCGAGTCAAAGCAGCGCTTGTCAATCTTTTGTTGTCAGAGTCCACTTTAGCGTAAGAGGCTAGCATCAAATGGTCGCTTTTAAAGACAAGCGGGCTAACCCAGAAATCGGGGATTCCCAGAAATCTTGACCCACACCAAGAGTGGGCATTGCACTACCTAAAGGAGAAGTTTGGTTTCATAGGTGTGTATCAAGGACTACTATACTCATATATAGTAGTCCTTGGTGTGTATATAATTTGTTTGATTGTAAAGAAAGCTCTCCTTGTCTTTTAAAGAAACTGAAGAAGGGGCAACAACTTTACTTTCGATTTTCTCATGACAGCATTTTTTCGGGATAGCCCCCTTGTGCTGAAAAACGACCAAATATTCTGTATCGCCCCCCAAAATATGTATTCCCAAGTGGGGTATCAAATATCACCTGTAACCATCCGGGTGAACCCCACAGCCCAGTTTGGCAAGCACTGATCTAGAATATTATTTGAGTGGATATTGAAAACAAAGACGACTGCATCTTTCAAGCCTTGTATCGATTCTACCCAACATCGAATCTTTTCGCCCGTGACTCAAAGAACGAGACTTCCTGATGTCCTGCTCTTCTAGAAAATCATAAACTATTTCAATTACAACGTCAGTAGAACAACATTAAGCATTAATCTTGTCAGATGAAAAGTGGCCATAAAATAAAACAACTAAGGGCTAGAAGAACAAAAATAACGACTCACTCCCCTCCCCAAATACGCACACGAGCACACACGCAAGCATGCTCAAACACACACACACACACTCACACACACACACACACACACACACACACACACACACACACGCACATACACATACACCATCATAACCATCCACCCTCCTTCCACTTCCACACACACACACCGTCACTTTCACTCATTTCTGCACACACAAAACACACGCATATACACACACACATACACACATACACATACACACACACTCACAAACACACATACACACACACTGTCACTTTCACCCATTCCTGCACACACACATACACATACACACACACACAAACACACTCACATACACATGCGCACACCCATACACACAGTCACACAAAAACATGAATATCTATAAAACAAAAAACAACGAAATACGGTTGTTATTCTGTATTCAAATATCATTTCCTGTTTGTTCTATTCTGTGACTGGGCGTCTGGCGTCGTCTGCTCCTGTCTACTGTCTACCAAACGTCCGGGCATTGTGGGAAATAATACGTCATGATTTATTCACGTGTGACGTAAGCCTACTCATAGTTTGTTTCAGGGGATCTTGAATTCGCCAGTCATTTAAAAAACTATTCCATTACAAAAGGGGGGCGAGTTAAGGATCAAACTCTCCGTACATAGCGTTGTGACGTCATGAGGGGCGAATTGCATTGCGTCCTTTATTTCCTGTCGGGCCTGTATCATGCTGCATCAAAGTATTTTTTCCCCCTGCTCATTACTGTCCAACTAACTCTTTGCGTTGTGTAGTTCTTCCAACAAAATGTGCAGACTTTACAATTCTAACGTCAACTGAAGTATCACAGAAATCGATGTACAGAAAAGTGGGAAGACACGGAATAACATCAAGAGTCTAGCCCAAGATAAAGAAAGGTGGAAGGTGTTTGTCCGTGGCCTATACCCTAGTGCGGGGTGAGAAAGGCAGTGATGATGTGATGATTGCTGTCCAAATGACGATTTGCGTTGTGTCGCGCTTCCAACAAAATATGCAGACTTTACAATTCTAACGTTAACTGTTAGTGAAACAAATAGGATACATTTGTGATAATTTTTGTACGTTTTGTAACCCCCCCCCTACCTTTTCCGTTTTGAAATGCTGTTTCATTTTTATAACGTTATTCAATAAATTACTCATCCAAGTTAAAGGATAGACCCAACTGAAAGAGATTTTGACAACTAATTAGAAATGAATTAATTGTTCAAATCATGTTAGTTTTGTATTTTAATTTTGAGTCAAGAGGCAGGCGGGCACCTGAGAACTTCGCAGTCACACAAAAAGGACCTGAGTTCATTTCCTGTGTGGCAAGCATTGTTGTCGAGTATCTCGATATATCAATAAATCAATTAATAAAACAAACAAACAAACAAATAAACAAATGGTAAGAAAGCAGCTACTGACCTCAATAATGATGACTGTGAGGCTGATTCTGTCGGTGGAGAAGAGAAGCTGTAGTTTGAGCTTGCCCGTGGGTTTGATGGGCGGGGCATAGCGGGGCAGGAGGTCCTCCAGGTTGATCTCTGTCAGAGCTACTGGGGTGTCTGGCAGGCCGATTACTCCTTGGCGCTGGGAGGAGGAAAGAAATAGATGAATAAATGAAGAAAGGAGGGAAAGAAGGAAGGCAGGAAGGAAGGAAGGAAGGAAGGAAAGATGGAAACAATGATGGGTGGGGCATAGCGGGGGAGGAGGTCCTCTAGGTAGATCTCTGTGAGGGCTACTGTGGTGTCTGGCACGCCGATGGCTCCTTGGCGCTGGGAAAGGAGGGAAGAAATGAGTGAACGAGTGAATGAATGAATAAAGGAACGAAGGACGGAATGAAGGACGGAAGGAAGGAAGTAAGTAAGGAAAAAAGAAAGAAAGAAGGAAAGAAGGATGGAAAGGTCCAGAGCTCCTTGCCACTCTGGGCAGGAGGAGGAATACGAATTAATGAATAAATCGATAACTGAATTAATGAATGAATATATAATGAACGATTGATTGAATGAATGAATATATAATGAATGATGGAATGAATGAATGAATGAATGAATGAATGAATGAATGAATCAATGAATGAATGAATGAGTGCAAAACTCCCACCCCCAGTCAGCAATATAGGCCTACTATATGCATGTGTGTGATAAGCGCAGGTGCGCAATCAATTGCAAACTTTCAGAAACAGAGATGGATCCTTTCTATTTATCAACGATTGTTTGGCTGTCTGTATTCGTGGGTGTTTAACTCTATCCGTACGTCCTGGGGTCATTTTGTACCCCCGGGGTTGTCTTCTTCACATTTTAGAATACTTCTAGTACGAAGAAGCATTAGAGAATATAGTCACAACAGGCAAGTTTGATGGAAAGAGAGGCAGAGGCAGACAGAGGGAAAAGACACTGGACAAGATGACAACATGGCTAGGAGCAGCAAGAACAGACACCATTGCTGCTGCGAAGGACAGGGTGAAGTGGAGGTCCATGGTCGCCCACGCCAGTCGGCAAGGCACCCGATGATGGTGAGTACGAAGATCTCTTTGAAACTCGGTATTTCTCAAAATATCATTTTGACAGACTGCTATACAAGGGGCACGGATCGGATTAACAAGTAAATTTCCTCTTTGGAACGTGGTGGCACAGAGTTCCCCACGTCGTATGGATATGATAGTCAAACACGACGTACGGATAGGGTTAATTGGTGGCGTAGAGTTCTCCACGTAGTATGGATACGATAGTAAAACACGACGTACGGATAGGGTTAAGTGGTAGCCCAGAGTTCCCCATGTCGTATGGATACGACAGTAAAACACGACGTACGGATAGGGTTAAGTGGTGGCACAGAGTTCCCCACGTCGCATGGATACGATAGTAAAACACGACGTGCTGATAGGGTTAAGTGGTGGCACAGAGTACCCCATGTCGTATGGATACGATAGTGAAACACGACGTATGGATAGGGTTAAGTGGTGGCACAGGGTTCCCCACGTCGTATAGATACGACAGTAAAACACGACGTACGAAGTATCTCGGTCATCCTGCACGGATATTGTATCACTATCAGATAGAGTTCAGCCCGAGTGCGCAGATATGTCAGTACTGGTGTATCTGTACGTTCATGTTTTGCATGTCCGTATACGAGTTTGTCCGTCTGTCTATCTGTTCTTCCCTTAGTTTGCCTTGCTTTCTATACGTCTCAGTCTGTTTCGTCTGTAAGTTCGTGTATCTTCAAATGTTTGTCTCTATGTTTTGAGAGAGAGAGAGAGAGAGAGAGAGAGAGAGAGAGAGAGAGAGAGAGAGAG